CTAGGACTGATAGTCTTATCCTACTTATCCACATTCGGATAAGTAGTCCTCACGATGCAATTTGATTTCACTTAACCTTACTTTCCAAAGGCCAATATCCCTGATGAAAGGCCTGGCTTACATTGAATATCATATCTGCCCTCTGACCCAGTGTTATTCGTGGCCATGTACGGAGCGTTAGTGTGGGGCTGCTGATAAGGCAAATGTATTCGAGTTTAAAATGCAATCCAGTCTGGATCGGATAGCCCTCTGGGAGGCAAGGCTAAGTGAAAGTCAATGGCATTATGAGGCTTACTTATCTCACGGAGAGATTTAAACTCAGCTATCACTTTTTAAATCACCTTGCGCGACTTAAAGCTCATATTTAAGGATTAGTGGTAGATTAGCAATTAAACTTATTCTATTAGATACAAAGTTTTTATCATACTACATGTAATTTTTTTTAAAGTGACTCGACCTTAGGTAAAATGTAAAAATTAAACAGATGTCTAATTCTGTCCAAAGTAGTAGTATAAAGATGATGTCGTCCCAAGTATGATTACGGTCCCCTCTCGTTGTATATAAGTGGTTTGGCCTCGCTTTCATGGCCTGATAGTTTTGTGCAAGAGGTCTAGGTGAATACACCTTGTCATTCATAGTATGGACAATAATTTCCAGTTTCGGGCAGTGGACTTGCTATATTATAGAGGGTAAAATCAAACGTATTTATAGACATTTCATTGCCAATTGTTGAAATGTTCTAAGGTTTTCATCTTTTAGTAACGGAGGTTTTTTTTAAGGAAATAACACGAACCGGAAAATAACAAGGCAGAAACAAGACATGCCAGTGGAAGATTTTGTTTGAACTATCCATGAATTAGATTAATACCAACGACTTCGTATCTGGCAAACACTGAATTTAGATAGGCACGATTATTTAAGGTGAGTAAATATCCCTATTTGGCCGCTACGTTCTGGGTCTTAATGCATGTTGAAATGTTGGATTTATCCAGGCTACTACATTTTTGATGCATTACAGATTTCCTAACTGACAAGTAGATTCATTTGCCTTTGAGCTTGTGCCTCCATAGTTTTAATCCCATTTTGGTTGCTGATATCGATGTCCTTTTATTACATTTGCTATAATATAATTACTGAGCAAAATTACATCTTTTTTACATTTTCATTATGAGTCATTTAACAAAATTTTGATATGTTACTAGGTCCTCTTTTGCTTAATGATCATTTTTTCCTCATACCTACTGGTCAAAAATATTTCCTATTTACTTTAAGACGCACCTTTTCGTTTCATTTTCTTGAGCTTGCTTATTTTTATGTCTTCTATAATCCTCTACAATCCTCTTATGTACCAGTCAATATTCCACTCTAATATAAACGCGATCATAAGGACAAAATTTGATTGAATCCAATCTTATATTGAAGACAATATTCCCAAATACAAATTGCTGGGTGCTAAATGGAATGCTTAATGAAATTTGGAATATCGCAATTAGTAGAGAAAAAAGCCAACATGATGTTGATGATAAGTAGAGCTTCTCCATAGATTATAAAAAAATTAAAAGTAAAATGAGAGTGGACTCTTATAACAGATGAAGATTATTTGATGGGTGCATAATTTCCGGTATTTTAGACATGAAAGGATTTAAGCAAGAATAAGGATGCTCCGTATCTCTATTTAACCGTCTTTGAGCCCCTTTGGGATCGGTGAATATGTAATAATAATTAATAATTTACTTCTAGCTAGCATCATGCTATTATGCGTTCTTTTCCATTCTACTTTTCTTTTTATATCTTCCCCACATACCTTGTAGTCAATGCCCTAAGTAATTTATCGTTAAAATAGTTCTTAGGATTTATTTGGGATGCCCTTCGTTCATCCATCTTATCCATCCTCCTTCATCATCAATTTTTCCTTTGTTATTTTCTTTCCCCCAGACTCAAAATATTCCTAACGCTTTCCTTTCAATTGTATTTATCGCATCTTCTCCCTCATTTCGTTTTTCTCTCAGGTTCAAATATTTCCCAAATTCACTTTCTCTTTACTTTTTTATCTTTTCTTCCCACTGCATTTACATAAATATTTTCATAATTTGTACATATTATC